CCTGGGGGGTACGGGGAGCAGGATTGCAGGGTATACCCTTTGGTTGGTTGATGATGCATGGAAGGGATTGTAACCATGGCAATGAGATGATATACGATAGAATGAATGTAAAATTAATGTTCTCACATGTAAACTATCACATAATTCACAATAAAACATTTAAGAAAAAAAATGTAATACAAGAATAGTTATAAGATATTTGAAATACAAGCATTAAATTAGTTTTTATAAACATTATAGAAGAGTTATTATACTCTGAGAACTAAAATACATATGACCAAAAAAAGAAACACATACTTTTAATGTTTTCAAACATGCAGCACAAATATTATCAAGGAGAATTCTGCATTTATTTTTTTTGTGAAATAATGTAATCAAAGATCAAGATGAAGAAAATCAGGCCTGCTTCTGTACATACATAGCTTTGGTCCTCCCTACTCTATTTTCCCATAATGAATAGCAAATAGTCATTCTCATCTGTTACCCTTTTGCTATAATATCTTAAATCACATGTAGCCAACACAGATGTTACCTTTTTCATGGTTTATAATATAATCAAGGTGTGCTGGCATGGTGCTGCAGGACAATCACTGGACTGCTAACCACAAACCCACCAGTTGCTCCTTAGAAACCCTACACAGGGTTGCTATGAGTCAGAACTGCCTCAATGACAATTAACAACAATATAATCAAAAGCATAAAAGGCCAAATTAAAATCAAGATGATGCTAAAAATTAATTCTATTTAATACTTTAAAAAGGAGCTGTAGTTCTCAAACTTGACAATACCAATTTTTTGAATTACAAAATTCTTTGTTTTGGAGGGCAATCTTGTAACCTGTAGCATGTTTAATAGGATCTTTTACCTACTAGATACCAGTAGTATCCACCTTCAGTTGGAAGAATCAAAGAATCCCTTTTTCTGTTGTTGTTAAGTGTCATCAAGTCAATTCCGACCCACAGCGACCCTGTATAGGCTTCTAAGGAGCAGCTGGTGAGCTTGAACCACCGACCTTACAGTTCAAATGACTCTGCAGTCTGGCTCATTAACCCACAGTGCCACACCAGGACTCCAAAGTAGCTGCCAAATGCCAGGGGAAGAGAGACATAAAATATCCCTCTGTTGAACATCAGAATTAGAGTATTTTATAATATAAAGATATACTATCAGGAGAGAACAGTCCCTGAAGAAGGATATCATGTTTGGTAAAGTGGAGGGTCAGAAAAAATTAGGAAAACCCCCAACTAGATGGATTGGTATAGTGGCAGCAGCAATTAGCTCAAATCTAGCAACAGCTGTGAGACTGGCACAGGACCGGGCAGTGTTTTGTTCTGTTGTTTATAGGGTCACTATGAGTTGGGACTGACTCAATGGTATCTAATAATAACAACAACAGCAATATTATTTGAATAAGATGAACCTTCACCTTCCTCATCTTCACCCTCTTCATCCTCTTCTTCCTCTTCCTCGTCACTACTTCCAGCATCCTGATCTGTGTTTGAGTCACTGTCTCCTTCATCAAGAATTTCTACACAAACAAAGCAAGTTTGGGGTAAAATTAGTCGGTTATACACAATCACAGAACCACAATAATAATACTTTATCATACAAAAGACGATCATCACATAGGCCTCATGTTATTTCCTCAGGGATCAGAAAGCATTACAACTGATTTAACTAGAGAGCTGCATGTCTCATTCTTCTGACAGATAAAAATGAAACAAAGAAGTGATAAGAAGAACAAAGAAAAAAGAGACACAGGCTTTCCAAAAGGGAAGAATACTGGAAAAATAAATGAGAAACAAGAATTAGCATATTGGAGTCAAAATACTATCATTTTATCATAATTAGAATCTACTATAAAAAACTGACTAAGTATAAAAAACAACAATTTAGCTTAAGAATGTACTTCAAAATACAAAGAAGAGAGGACAGATATAATTGCATGCACTTATGGTTTTCTTTTAAATAAGTAATGAGATTTTTATTTAGATGTATACCTATTAAACTGAACATTGCAATCAATCCAAAGTCTTTTCATATGTAAATAAAACTAAAGTTTAAACATCTTTTAGAATTTGGTAAGATGAGCATTTTTATTGAATGATCTCTTCTCAAAATAAATCTCACCTTTAGAAATTGATGAAAATAAGTGATATAAGCAAGGGATACAGAAGATCAGTCATATTAGTAATGAATTTTATTAGTAACGAATATAATTTTATTAGTAATAAACATAATTTTATTCATCAAATTCATGAACTAAAATTATATTTTGCACTATAGTGTAATAATTTCATAAACCTGGCCAACAGTTTACTTTTGTATTTCTATTATAATCACAGAACTTTTAATAGAAAGTTTTAGGGGTCAATTAATTTGGAGGAAAAAACTCTGATTTCTTTCACGTTAACCTAAGCAGCATAAATCAGATGCCACACAAAATATTTAATGTTAGAAAAAACTTGATTCCATGATGAACAGATTATTGTACAAAAAGACAGACTTGTCTTTCAGCTTTTATCTGATAACATACATCTATCTCTTCAAGGCTATTTCTAACAAATGGGACTTCAAGAAGCAATGTGTAATGTCTAATTTATCAGTATACATATAGCTTAGACTTTTAAAAGAGGAAGCTATTTAGTATTCACTAGTAGGAAGAAAGGCACCCCTGCTGTTTTCCCAAATGCTCTCAGACCCAAAACACAAGTACACCTGAGTCACTCTAAGGTGCTAATTACCAAAGCTGTGTCACTTCCTGCTGCGGCCATATTTTTATGCCTGCTTTAGAAAAACATTTTATGAAAGAATGAAGGTCAAAGGAATTTTCTAATCATTTACATCATCCTCTCATCTTTCCACTTTAGAATCTACTTATTGGAATCACTGATAAAATGGCAATTGGATTTTATTAACTGACTGAATAAAGAGGTGGTTTTCAAGTATGGTCTATGAACTCCTGAGGTGAGGTGAGGTGATCTCTATTTTCATAATACCAAGGCATTACTGACAGTTTCACGGTGCTGACAGTTACAATAGTGGCTACAATTACTGCAACTCTAGCACCAAACTACACTCAGAGTCATCGCAGTTTTTACTGCCTCAGTCTTAACAGTCTTACAGAAAATGGCTAGCTTCATTTAAAAATGTCCCTGGTGAAGAAGTAAAACCTTATTAATTTTATTTAGTTGAGGCCGTTGAGACTGCCTTCTGAGTGATACAATATGAAGTTCATATATAGCACTTCGGTTAAATGTGATTAGATATATGATGGCAATAGTCATTTTAAGGATAAGCATTTGTGTGATGAATTAGCTGTATTCTAAATTTTTACTTGAAAGACAGACTAACAAACTGGTAAGTATTTTGCAGCATTTTCTCAAATATAAACTAACTGAGCCTGTCACTTCTAGAAAACAACTAGCAGTATTTGCTACCTTGATAAAACTAAAGTTCTCAAGAGAAAATCGTAGTTTTTGAAAAACTTATATTCATCAATGGTAGCTTGATAGTTTCTCAATATTTAAGATGTCTCTGAGGAGACTTAATCAAAGACTTAACAAATACATTTTGTGACTGCCTAATGACATGCCAACATTTAGAAGGTACATATTACCTCAATGAATCAGTTATTTCCAAATGACCAATGTAACATGTTACAGAATCATACATGGATAAAAGATCTATTCCAGGAGACAGACCAAAAAATTTCATGCAACAGAATATGAAAAGTTTACTGATAGTGTTTCAGATTCCAATAGAATTATTCCTTAAGAAACTATCATTTGTTGGCTACTGCTATCGTATCCACAGAGGATTGTTACCAAGACCACCCTTCCCTCTCTGTATATACCAAAATCTGTAGATGTCCAAGTCTCTTTATAAAATGGTGGGTGTACTATTTGCATATAATCTATGTACAACCTCCACGATACTTTAAATCACCTCTAGACTACTTATCATAACTGTTGTAGTTGTTATGTGCTGTGGAGTCGGTTCCGACTCATAGCGACCCTGTACAGGGTTTCTGAGGCTGTAATCTTTACGGGAGCAGAAAGCCTCATCTTTCTTCCACAGAACAGCTGGTAGTTTTGAACTGCCGACCACTGAGATTAGCAGCCAGATTCGTAACAATGTAAAGCTATAGCATTTCAGACTTCCTCTCAGTCTTTTATTTTTTAGGAGACTTCTCCCCACCACCAAGAAGATGTACATAACACAAGCAGTGAATGAATAAGACAGAAGTTGAAAAATGTTCAGACAAGTGCTAGAGAACGACTAAGGATACAAGAAGTGGCAGGAGCTTACAGCAGAGTGTGACTGTTGTTGTTGTGTGACTACACACCTCTTTATTCATGTGAATTCAGCAGCGCTCTCAGCATGTGGCAAACTCAAATTTTACTTTCTGGAATCCAACCCTCAATCCGTAAGTATTTTCAGTCCACAGTGGGTATAATCTGAGTATACAGAACTGGAGTATATGAGGGCCAACTGTACATAATTACCTGAAAGAGCTATTAAAATACTCCTACTCCTCCCTTTTCCAACCACCTATCTGTATAATGCTAAATTCTTTCAAACACTGCAATCAAAACTACTATTTATATACATATATCTATAGAGATATAGAGACTATAGAAAAAGAGGTCAGTAAGAAAACAAGCCAAAAGAGTTCTCAATGTTTGGAAACTAAATTATGACAAAAAAGGAACATGGTCAGTTGCAGTGAAATATGCCCTAGGAAATTAGCAAATCTGTAGGATGATACAGGTAGAAATGAAGACCTTCTTACACTTTTACTTTCAAAGCCAACAGTCCACTCCTAAGCACAACTGAAGTATAGAGTCCAGGCAATAAGTAAAATTCTCAGGTATAATCATAACTCAAGGGAAACATATCAATAATATTACTATAACAAGAGCCCTGAATATTAGATTGCCAAAGAAAAACGACACAAATGTGAAAATAATAATAGCCATCACTGTCTAAACATTAAATCTGGTAATACAAAGAACTTCCTTGTAAAAAGCAAGTACCTTGGCTCCTGGTCACTTGGCTAGTAATGGCAAAGATAAACTACAAGTCAAAGTCTAACCAAAGTTAGTGCTTACCAAATATTAATGATGTACAAATGATAAACAATAGATACCAATTTATTATTAGACACCAATAGGATATCTAGCACTGTAACTAACGTTATTAAAAGAAAAGAGAAATAGTTACTATCATGTTTCTAAGAAATAATAAAGCAGAGCATTTAATTGAATATGAAAGTCCGTGGCAAAGACCGTCAGTGGCAGAGAAGTTAATAACAGGCTAGAGTAAAGTATGAATGTTTCTTAAGAAGAGTGAGACTTGAAGGTTGCAGATCATTTAAATTCAAGTGGAAAGAGACAGTAAGATAAACTATTCAGAAAGATGTAACACCATGGGTGAGCATTAGAAAGTAAAACAATGCACAGGAAGCAGTGAAGAGAAAAAGTTTTTTCCTGTGGGGATCAATGATCTATACAAATTTCCTTTCAATCAGTGTTCATGTAGCTATTTAAACTGCTTCAATTTATGTAAAATAATTAAAGCATTCCACATACCCTTTTTAATGGTCTTGTATTTCTCTTCATTCTCCATAAAATTAGGATCCATCTTGAAGACATCTTAAAAAATAGAGAAAACGTTAAGTCTATTTTCTACTTTTACATTTGTTGGTACCCCACTCCCCCAGCCCTGTTCCAGGACTGACTGAGAACATCTTCTGGGTTATAGTCGTCCTCCAGAGGAAGCATATGGGTAAACTGATCATCCTCTTCCACTAGGTCAAGTCCTTCTAGGATAACAGGGTGATCCTTGAATCCATCCTTCCGTACTGCAAACATTACTTCAATCATATACTGAACTCTTTTGTCAATTTCAGACTCATGGAGAATGTTCCGAAGGCGTTCAAATATAGCTAAAGTTAAACAGAAATAAAAAATTTAAAAAGTAGTAAATATAATAATATGCAAATAAAAGTTCAATATCAAAGCGAGGAATACACTTACCATTAATACCTCTTGGTGATACTTCTGTTAATTTGAGACCACATTCCTTGAGAAAACCAATAGCTACTTCCACACTATCATCTGTAGGTCTTTCCAGGAGCAAAGTGAGCATCTCTAAACATAAAACTTCATGTGCCTTGAGTAAAATGCAGTCATGTGAAAGTGAGAAAATACTTTTAGACATATTCATTTAACATTGACAATAATCTTTAAATGTAGTAAATCTATACATGCAATACTACTGCATAAATGATGATCAAAGATTATGTACATAAGCAATATTCCAAATATGGAATATAATTTTTCTTTTACTTTCATTATCCATCTGTTAGCGATTTCTAGGTGATGATTCCAAAATCTTAATTTGCTGTATGAGATCAAATAATTTAACTTGTCCTCAGAAGAAACAGTCTTATATGTCCTATACAGGAAATGCCAGTTAACTTTAAAATATAATTTAAAAACTTATGTAACAGTTTTTGATTAGATTATTTTCCCCTAAAGTCTTCTCGTGTAGTTGCAAGATTCAAGTGTATAGAATACCAGGTATTTATCAGTTTAGATTGAATGGGAAAGGAAAAATTCAGAAAAAGATGCTGGGAATGGCTGTATAACTTGAAGAATATAATCAATGTCCTTGCACTGATTATATGAAGAAATTATACATGCAGTATTGCTGTTGCTGTTAAGTGCTGTGGAGTCAGTTCCGACTCATTGCAACCCTGTACAGGGTAACTGAAGAGTGGCTGGTGAGCTTGAACAGTTGACCTTAAGGCTCAAACCAATCTTGCAGTCATGCATTAACCCGCAGTACTACACCAGGACTCCACATGCAGTATTATAATATACACGCATGCTAATTATTCAACTGGTGTATTCTCAACAACAAAAAAAGGTAAAGTTATAAAAAAGCAAAACACATTGCATTCTTTGAAAGAATTACTTTGTGAGCAAATAATCATGTGCCATATTAAGAGTTTAGATCAATTTGATACAGTACCTAAAAGTGTTCTGGTTCCTCTTAATATATAAGAATATTAAATGCATTTATTACAGTTGGAATGAAAATAACTTTCAAGATGGTGGTGGTGGCTGTGTGTCAATGAGCTGGTTCTGACTCACAGCAACCCTGTATAGGGTTTCCAAGGCTGTAATCAGTACAGGTGCAGAAAGCCTCATCTTTCTCCCAAGTAGAAGCTGGTGGATTCAAACTGCTGGCCTTAAGATTAGCAGTCCAAAACTGAACCAACTAAGCTACCAGGGTTCCTTACCATCCATACTTACCTCAAAAACAAACAAACAAAAAAGCCAAAACAAACTCAAAAAGAGACATGTTACTGAAGTGGCACTGAACCTGGTCTAATGCCACTGAGTATATAGGACTAAGTGTTGAAGGTAACTACTTACCACATTTTGGTTAATAAGATGGGCCACAAATTTTGAAGCAGTCAGACAAAGTTGCTAAAAGTCAAGACAGAGAGAGTTAATCTATAAACTAAAACCAATTTTTACTACCTATAGAACCTGTAGCCTACTAGCATGTTCTATTTGAAATATGTAATGCATAGAGCTAATTTCTATGAAAGTTATAAGATAAAAACTACTACTCAGGAAAGTGTGCCATTTCTGGCTAAACAGTTAAAATTCTACAGTTAGAGACATCACATCTTGTGACTGTGTATATTCAGTAAACAACCCAAGGAAGTTCTTATTAAGTATGTAGTTTTAAAAGAAACTTTCTTCTGTAGAATTCAACATTGCTTACTATTATTAATACTGTTTTGTCAGTCTGTCCCTTCACAATAGTCTACACAAGCCCATTATATACCTTATCATTTCTTCGATAGCCTTTTCGAAAATTAAGAATTAACCTCTTGAGGATTAATTCTCCAATTTGTGGAAATTTGGAGTTGATTATTGCCACCAGTGCTGCATAAACATGAGTGAAGATTGGAGAAGCACTTTGTGCCTGCAGAACAGATCTGGAAAGCAGTCCTCTGTTTGTAAAAGGGAAAAAATGAGACAAAACAATGACCGAGTTAATTAGAAGAAAAAAGTAAACTCATTTAAAATGGCAGCAATATTACCAAAAATAAAAAGCCCACTGCCATCAAGTCAATTCCAGCTCACAGCAACCCTATGTAAAATTTCTTGGACTATAAGCCACCAGGAGCAGGTAGTCTCATTGAATTTCTCCTACAGAATGGCTGGTGGACTAGAATAACTGACCTTACTTACAGAGCTGCTCTGTAAATAACCACCAATGCTACATCAGAACTTAACTGTTACTACTTTATGGAGGGGAAATGTTTGTGTCTTACTAATAAACAAATAAACAAACGCTGTTTTTGAGGAAACAACCTGTGCATTTGTAAAACAGATGAAAAGACAGTAAAGGAACTGCAAGAGGGATGTTAAAACAATGAAAAAAATTAGCATCCTGTATCTAACTCATTTGGAAGTGTTCTTATCTGCTACATGCACTTAATAAGGAAGGGAAGAGATACAAAGTAGACTAACTGATGAGTTATCTTTAAAGTGAAATAACAAATACTTAATGGATACAAGATCTCAAACGAGATGGACTGGCACAGTGGCAGCAGCAATAGGTTAAAGCATAGCAACAATTGTGAGGACGGTTCAGGACCGGGCAGTGGTTTGTCCTACTGTGTACAGAGTTACTGAGTAGGCAGCTTGATGGCACCTAACAAGATGCAAGAACAACCGCTTTAGTTACCAGGTTTACGTATGATAACTGAGAGGTTGCCAGTTCAAATCCACTGCCGCTCCCCAGGAGAAAGAACAGGCTTTCTGTTCCCATAGAGAATGAGTATGGTAAGAGGATAATACAGCCTTTTCCTGATTTTGAACCATTCAGTATCCCCTTGTTCTGTTTGAACAAGTGCCTCTATGTATTTTTATCTGAGGGATAATAAAATTGTTCTCTAATCTAAGTTTGACAGTTAACAACTGGAGGCAACTTTATGTTAATATAATTTTTCCTCTAGTCTTGGTTTATCATCATTAAGTACTTTTCATGAATCGTGGATTTATCAAACTTTTTAACGGAATTATGAAAAGCACCTAAGTTGGGAATATTTTTTTTTTTTTAAGTTTAGTCTGCTCTGCTCTAATTTTAACTTAAATTTTATGAACTCTTTTTATAATTACCAATGTTCAATTACAAGACATTGAATTTTTTGAAAATCTAAAATATATCCCTAAAGATATTTAATTGGTTAATAAGAATTGCTGCTGTTGTGGTTAATTACCATCAAGTTGCTTGTGCCTCAAAGCCTGTACAGGGTTCCCCAGGGACAGCTGGTGGGTTGGAACTGCCGACCTTGTAATTCAAACGGACATTGCATTCCAGAGCTTATCCTATAGTGCCACATCAGGACTCTGATTTGTAAGAATAACACCATACTTATTGGCAAATTTTAGGTATGCCAACTCAGTGTAAAGAATTTCCCAAACTTCACGCCAAAGAACACTATTTCAGAGAACCAGTTAAATGGTTAAATCAGTTTTGAATTTTAAAAATTTGTGGAAAAATAAAATTAGAAGATACTGAAATTTTCCCACGAACTTTCTGAAACCCCCTGTAATGGCCTGTAAAAAGCTCATCATGATGCTAGGACATGAAAATGCCTGACATGTCCAGCAACCAACAAATCAGTTAAATTGTATTTCAGAGCTTCCAAAATTTTTTTTCCCTTAAATCAAAGATATTAACAGACACTGAAATGCTTGCTTTCAGTTAGTATACATACTTGCTGAATTAAAATAAAAGTGCTTTCATCTATAGAAAAGAGGTATAAAAAGGCCCATTTCTAATACTCATTACAGGCAGGCCTACATTTCAGAACCATTTTGGAAAATATCACGCATCCTATTCTTGGTGATTTTCAAGGCTAGAAACTCACCATTGCCTCTGGTTGCCTGTTCTGTTTTTATCAACCTTATAGTCACAATTTATGCTGAAGCAGGGGCCTAGAAGACTGATGTATCCAAGGTCATAAAGTCTAGGTTAACAGAATCAGAATATAAATCCATACTTTATAATATGTAATCCTTGGCAACACAAGTATATTTCATGAGAAAGGAACCTCTCCCACAAATACACTACCCTCTTCTTGGAAGCAGAGCTATTAGGGAACTAAGATCAATGATGTACGTTGGTTCAATTATGGCACTGAGGTTTGTAAATTATAACACCTTACACAAATCATGGGAACTCTATCCTTAAGGAAAGTGACTGATTCTTGGTCCATTTTTTTATAACCTTCCGCTCCAACCCCACCCAGCATGTTATACCTTACCTTATAGCCCTAATCAATGTTTTCTGAGATAATGAGTCAGGGTAATGTGAAATGACATGGAAAAAGAACTTTTATTTAGTTTATTTATGCAAAATAAAATAATAAATTGTTGTTGTTAAGTGCTGTCGAGTTCACGTACCAAAAAAAGAAAGAAGAAAAAAACATTTGCCATGCAATCAATTACAGCCTGCTAAGACAGAGTGGAACTGACTCACAGTGCTTACAAGGTTGGAATCTTTTATAGGACCAGACTGCCACAACTTCTTTCCTCAAACTGGCTGGTGGGTTCAAACCTCCAACCTTTAGCTTAGCAGCTGAGCACTTAACCATTATTCACCATGGCTCGAAATAGTATACACACTAGTTTTCCTTCTTAAAATCACAAATTGGTAAAAAATCACAAAAGAAATGTTAAGACATTACCATCTGCTTTTCTTCAACTTAATGATGATAATTTTTTCTCTCACATTCTCATTTACTTTCATTAAGAAGTTCAACTGGTTTGAGGTAGTTCTCACTCATTCCCTGTTTGTATTTCAGTGTGGAGTTGTATGATAAGCACTGGACTGCTAACCGAGAGGTCAGCAGTTCGAACTCACAAGTCATCATTGGAAGACATATAGAGGAATACTGGGAGTTATAACAGACTTGATGGGACTAACAACATTTTTATTATCAATTATCCCTTACAGACTTCGTTCACTTGAAACATTCAGTAAATGTCTGTACAAAATTTATTATATGACACCAATACTTGAAAAGCAAAAGCTCCAAACAATTTCAGGAATGATGTGCAAGTTATATGTCAGTAGCTAATTTTTCTAAGAACTGTATTTTTAAAAAGGATTAACTTTGAAATGAAGTAGCACATTAAATCAATGATTATTGTTCATATAGACAGCATGTTTCTTTGAACCAATATTATGAAATACTGCAAATGAAATCGCTGATGCTTACCTTCCCCTAACTATATTTTCTTGAAGAAGTTCATGAATAATAATCCGTATATTAGAAATATTAACTTTGTTGATAAGACCATTGATGGACTTCTTCAGTGCTTCCCAACTCATCCTCTGGTATGCTAAGCTTTAAAAACATAAAATAAAAAATTAATGACTTAACAGTACATAAAACATAGGTGTGTGTGTAGGGCACAGATTACCCTTCTCAGGTGTTCACCTGCATATGTTAAATGCTATGATTTACAAAGATACTGATGTTAAAAGGAAATAATAATGAAAACTAAAAAGAAATGCAGTATTTGACTTACATCAGAACTGACTTACGATGGAGTTGTGGGAATGAAATCCAATCTTAAAGAGGGGACTACCTACATTTAGTACTATCAACATGCCTGTTTTTATCTGTAATCTGTTCTTGTAGCATCCTGAGTTTTGCAGGAGGAATGTAAGCACCACCAGTACGAGTGAGGAGGGGATCCAGTTCATCTTTCTTCTTCTTTGCAGTATGTTCATCCTGAGCAGAGGAACTCCGGGTTAGGGATGGCTCTGGGCTTCTTCTCCCAGGCGATGGAGATTTCCAGGACCTTTTCCGATCCATCTCTCTTTCTCTGCGTTTTTCTCGGTGGTCCCTACTTCTGTAATGTAAATTTTGGGTTTTTTAATACGGAGCATAGGCAATATAAATACATTCTTGAAATGAACTAGACAAGGAATGAGAGCACAGTGGGTCTACAAATTCAGACTAGGAAAAGTGGCTTGGAATGATGAGGAAGTGCTTCACAGACAAAACAGAACTTAAACAGTCCTAATATGTTTTATAAGGAGCCCTGAGGGCGCAGTAGTTAAGTGTTCAGCTGCTAACCAAAAGGTCAGTGGCTGGAATCCACCAATCACACAGCAAGAGAAAGAGGTAGCAGTTGGCTTCCTTAAAGATTACAGCCTTGGAGATCCTATGGGGCAGTTCTTCTCTAGTCTTTATAGTTGCCATGAGTCAGAATTGACTTGATGGCAATGAGTTTGGGTTGAAGGTTTCACAGGATTCAGGTTGAGGGCAAGTAGGAGAGAGAAGAGCATTTTGCAATGAACAGAAGAACTAACTAGTGAAAAAAAAGCAGTACTGAGACCAGAATGAGTAGTTGTTGGGTACTACATTAAGTCGATTCCAACTCAGTGACCCAACTGGATTTTCTAGGCTGTACAAGGGGATACTGAAAACCTCATGGAAAAATGGAGTTGAAAGAGAATTGCATTTTCCTAGAAAATTTGTGAAGCCCCCTTGTTATCTTTACAAAAGCAGATTTCTAGGTATTTCTCCCATGGAGCCATCACTGAGTAGTTTCATATCACCTATCTTTAGATCAGCAGGTCAGCTTTCAACCATTTGTGCTACCAGGGCTCCTTGTCGTTATGTGCCATCGAGTCGGTTCCGACCCATAGCGACCCTGTATAGGGTTTCCGAGGGTGTTCCTTACAACGAGTAAAATAATCAGGAAACCAAAAAGAAACGTACATTATGGTAGCTGTAAAAATGAGTTGGTATCTGACTTTGAAATCTGAAGACAAACAGGAGATTTAAAGGTGGTTTTTTTGGACTGGAGGTTACTGTCATTCAAAGTTTCTAAGCAGGAGACTGACATTAAAATACCATTTTAAAAGGACAATTGACCTGTGGTGTATATAAAAAAAGTTGAATAAAGGAGAAACCAGAATTTATCTCTAATAAAAAACTTTTCTACAACCTGTTAGTCTGTCAAACGAGGTAGCTTACATGTTGCTAAGATGCTAAAGGTATACCCTATATTCTAAATATAGCAGGGCCACCAATGATCGACAGGTTTCAGCAGAGCCTCCAGACTAAGACTAGGAAGTAGGCTCAGGCTATCTGCTTCAGAAAATTAGTCAATAAAAATCCTGTGGCTCACAACAAAATGCTGTCTGATAGAGGTGCTGGCAGGTGAGGCACCAATTTTGGTGGTGGTGGTGGTGGTGGTGTGCCTCCAAGTAGGTTCTGACTCATAGCAACCATATAGTGTTTCTGAAGCTGTAAATCTTTATAGGCTTATCTGTTGTTTACCTTAATACTTTTAAACTGGGAATAATAGTATCTACTTTTTCCTGTTGCATGCTGTCGAGTCTGAAGCCCCAACCTTACAGTTAGCAGCTCAGTAAATAGCCTACAGAACCAACCAAGAGTATTTAAGAAAATGTCCAAAATACGCAGCACAAGAAGAATATGCACAGGCATCTAATTATTGATGGTATCAGTTGTTCTTATTAAGGTAAACAACAGATAAGCCCAGTTTTGCAGGTTATTTAAAAAATTTAGGATTCTCAAAACAGAAAGTTACAAAATGACAATTTTGTTTAAAGATATCAAAAAAAAAAAACATGCAGAGCTCTAAACTGCAGAGGAACTTACTTAAGCTTCTAGAGGAAGTGTGGTCTGAGGAGCCAGGAGGTAAGTAAAATATGAGACATCAAAGAGAATATAGAACTTGGAGAACAAATAGAACATGGGAGACAAGTTGATGAAATTAGACAATAGGTAAAGACAAACAGGAAACTCGGGAGGAAGCTCATCTCATGAAGCTGACAGAGTTTTAAGATATCTTTAGGAATAAGGGATATGGTTATTAGAGACGTAAATAGAAGTTGGGAAACAGATCATATAGTTCCTTATGAAATACCAAAATACTAGAATTTGTAAGCATCACCAGATTTATTAAAACATACCGTTTTTAACCACTTTGTACAACAGTGGGAAATTTGAATTCTTTCATTATTTTCAATATACAATTCGATATGCCACTGGTTTACGTCTCTTCACTATTCAATTTGATGTGTGTAAGACAATAATATTAGAAACTTATTTCTTAGGTCCCAATGTGGTATGAAAAGTCTGTGCCCAATTACTAACTGACTCCACCTAGCACTTCAATGGAGAAAAGGCCTGGGGATTTGCTTCCTAAGATCTTTACCTGGTGTTAGTTGTTGAGTCAATTGTGACTCACGGTAACCACAACTGCTCCATAAGGTTTTCAAGGCTGTGAGCTTTTGGACCACCACTGGCTTGTGAGTTCCTGTGATGGTGGAAGCTATGTCACTGGTATTATAAATACCAGCAGGGTCAGCCATGGTGGACAAGTTTCTGCAGAACTTCCAGACAAAAACAGACTAGAAAGGAGAGCAAGTAACTTTAGCTGTAAACTAAATAGAACAGTATCTACTAAACATATTTACTGAGTTAGTCCACTTGAAGTCCTTATCACATAGCCTGACACCTAAGAACTTCCAGTAAAATCTACCTGCTATTTTTATTTATTTTTGTTACTATAAATCATAAGGAAAATATAAACATATATAATTTTGCTGTTGTTTAAGATTTCAATACTAACCGTGATTCCATGCCACTGTCATAAGAGCGCCCTCTTCTTGAACGTTCATAGTCTGACCTGCTGTAATCAGAATTCTCTCTCTCCCGAGGGGATCTCTCTTGGTCTGCATATCTAACACAAAATAGGAAAACCAAAATAATAAGTTGGAAACAACTGTGTTTTATATATTTAAGAAAAGTCAGACACTGGTAAAGCTAAACCAACCATATGATTGAATACTTCAAGTTAAACTGTTTATAACTGTTTTAACAGTTCATTGTGCTGACACTCACTCACATTCATTAGTACAGAAACTTCCACCTTGCACACAATGAAGCAACAATGCCTGGAATTCACTTTACTAAACTCATTCATCCTGATTCATAGTCTCCCTAATAAAAGTTACATACAGGACTTCAAAGAAGTTCATGGAAAAATTCCATTATATTTTTATTCCTTTTTCCACAAACTTTTTGAACCCTCTTCACCTTCCAGTATATCATATGTAGTTAGTATGATAAAGGCTGTCCTATAAATGACTTCTGTTTAGATTGTTGTTGTTATGTGCCGTGGATTTGGTTCCAACTCATAGCAACCCTGTGCAGGGCTTCTGAGGCTGTAAATCTTTATGGGAGCAGAAAACCTCATCTTTCTCCTGTGGAACAGCTGGTGGTATGGAACTACTGACTGTGACATTAGCAACCTGATCTGTACCCACTTTTAAATAAGATCAAAGTCATTGGTTGCCTCCATAAGTACAAGCTTAATTCCATCCATCCCAAGAGACTAATTTCATCAACTGCTATTTGTCAAACAGCAGTGAGAATGGATTGAAACTATTAGCATACAAAGATATCATAACATCTATTATTTAAATCTTACAAATCAATATAATCAGAGATTAAGGAAAGTTAAATATGTACATATAATATATGATGATGATGTTGTTGTTAAGAGCCATTGGGTCGGTTCCGACCCATAGTGACCCCGTAAAGGGTTTCCGAGGCTATAAATCTTTACAGGAGCAGAAAGCCTCATCTTTCTCCCGCAGAACTGCTGGTAGTATTGAACTGCTGCCCAACTCGTAACCACTACGCTACCAGAGCTCCTTATAATATATCATAGATACGCATAAAAACATAAATCAATAAGTTAATTTAACTTGAGTGCCACTGGGTCAGTTCCAACCCATAGCAACCCTGTATATGACTTCTGAGGAGCAGCTGGTAAGCATGAACCACCCACCAATCTTACAGTTCAAAGTGACTTTCCAGTCCAGTTCATTAACTTGCAGTACCACACCAGGATACACACATACCACATATGCATATATACATGTGAGTGTATAAATTAATTATAGATATATACACATATGTGCAAGGATGTACGTTTTTAGTATAGTGAAATGACTGGTGAAAGGTAGTATCAAACCATGGCAATCACCATGAGACCTAAATAAAGCAAAGGAATGCAGCAAAGTGGAATAAATACATCAGAAATAAGGAAGCAATTAGAAAACTAGAAATGAATTTAGAGAATGATTTCCTCCTTGATTTTTACTGATCATAGTTTACTGACCCAGCTAAAGTCCTGATGAATGCATGATACATATTAACAGTAGCATTTTAGGATCTTTGATATGAATACAACTATGGTAAAATTATATAATGTACATAAAATATTTCATAAATATGGAACTATATAAATGTAAATTTATTAGTAACAGCAGAGGCAGCAATTCAAATAATGTAATTTCAACTCAGCTTTCTACTGTATCAACTTTACTTAGAGAATACTATCACCTAAAATATAAAATATTATAAAAAAAAACACAGAGTTATTTACTACACACTCCTAGAATAGTAATTCAAAACCAATTCCTCCTCCTATACTTAGATGCTATTGGATTGGTTCTGACTCATAGCAACCCCATGAGCAACAGAATGAAGCACTGCCTGCCTGGTCCTATACCATACTCACAACTGCTGCTTTTTGAGTGCATGGTTGTTGTTGTTAAGTGCCATCAAGTCAGTTCCGACCCACAACAACCCTGGATAGGGTTTCCAAGGAACAGCTGGTGAGCCTGAACTGCTGACCTTGTGGTTCAAATCAACTTTGCAGTCCAGCATGTTAGTTGCAACCAAATAAAATTCTTCCTAAAGCATACTGGTGTGACAATGTAGGATAAGCACTGGACTGCTAACTGCAAGGTGGGTAGTTCAAACCCACCAGCTGCTCTCAGAAACCCCATACAGGATCACTGAGTTAGAACCGACTTGATGGTTCTTAATAGCAAAGCTCATCAAAGCAATACTGGTTATAGAACTGTAAAAGAGAAGTTGTTCATCCTATAATTAGGGACCTGAGAGATGAGTTACTACTTAAATGTAATAAAAAAGCTTTTGGGTTGTGTTCAGAACATATAAAACTATTTACCCATCTTCTGGAGAGGAGGTCCTCTGATGTGAATTAGAGTTTTCTCTTCGACCATGACCAGAAGAATGCTTTCAAAGGGAAAAAGGAGAGGAGACGTTTCAAAAATTATTTGTAATATTAAAAACACACAGACAACAACAACAAAAAATGTGTACCTATGAAACTACAAAGTATTTTAAAATTATTTGAGAACACTTTTTAATCATAAAAATAATACAAGTTAACTAAACAGTATTAACAGAAAACAAAATTTCAAGGTCATCTGAGGTAACTGCATATGGCAATTACTCGTTTACACTATGGACACAAAACAATATTCTTAACAACAAAAAAACAAAGTAGAAGATAATTCTCCAATTTTAGATACTACCTAATTCATATTTCATTCCTATGTAGTAAACAATTCCATTTTTTAAACGGGCTTCTGATGAAACCCAAAATCAAGAACCAGAGGCTTTCTTTACACACTCACTTTCAGTATGTTCTAACTTTTAATACTGTACCTACTTCTAGTTCCTTTGGCTTAAGGAAATTTTAATGCTACTAAATCTAGAAAAAAAAAATCTCTATTAAAGAGAAATTTTTATAAAATTTCATTTTGTTCTCGATATAAACCAGTTGAGCATTGTATTTATATAGCACTAATTTAAAGGGTGCATCCTGGTGTGGCACTACAGGATAAGCACTGGACTGCTAACCACAAGGTCAGCAGTTCAAACCCACTGCTGCTCCTTGGAAACACTATACTCAACAGCACTTAACAATGACAACAATTTAAAGGGAATTACAACATGACTCCTAAGATAGAGATGCCAGGCCAAATTCTTTGAAAAGCATATGCACTGTATCATGACAAAGACAGGAAGGAACAACAGAGTTAGGAGAACATATTCTAATTATTAAATACCATTTAAAAACCAAAATATGTATCTCTATAAATAGGCAAATTTTATATAAAACTGATCAATATTAACAATCTTTTCAGCTTTGCTTTTTAAGAATTAAGCAATTTTAATTGACCTAGTAAGACAGGGAAGAATATTATTTGCTACTGTATCTTAATTGTGAAATGTAAGGAAAAAATAAGTAACTTATTTTGCACATTTATAACCTGTCTACTTAATGGAAAACAGATGAATTTTAAAATAGAAAATTAATTCTGCTCAGGAATGTAAACAAACTCCAACTTCCTCTGACTTTGTTGCTGTTATGTGCCCTAAAGTCGGTTCTGAACCATAGCGACCCTGTACAGGGTTTCCAAGGCTATAAATCTTTACGGGAGCAGAACGCCTCATCTTTCTCCCGTGGAACAGCTGGTAGTTTCAAACTGCTGAGCTTGCGGTTCACAGGCCAATTCGTAACCACTATGCTACCAGAGCTCCTTTCCTCTGACTTTATGACTACCTAATTAGCAGCAGTTTTGAGGCTAGTGTTACCACAACTGCCAAAACAGTCTCATTAACTACTAAAGGTCGAGTACCTCAACACAAAGGCTTGGTGATTCACTTCTGAACAAAACCAGTCATTAACAACTAGAGAGCACAGGCTGATACACATAGAGTTCCTTTAGTCAGAGATGGGCTGATGGCAATTGGTGATGATGGCACCTTAACTAGACCCTATTGGTGAATAAACATGTAATCAAAATTTAAAATTTTAGTCAGTCATGATTTGGCTATTTTATACTACATGCCACCATCTTAAATCCTGTTTCTAATGTGTTTATGAAAGTTTTTTAAAAAATTATTTCATTTAGTATCACAATGAAGTACAAGTGTTCCATACATATGATGTTGTTCATGCCACTGAGTCAGTTCCAGCTCATAGAGACCCTGTATAGGGTTTCCAAGAAGCAGATGGTGGGTTTGAACCACCAACCTCATGGTTAGTGAGGTCCAGTGCTTATCCTACAGTGCTACACCAGGACTTCACATATGATGCAGGATTACATAAAACTGACATCAAGATCCTAAGCCAAATGTGGAGTACAATATTCATTTAAATGAAACTGCTAACAAATAAATCATAGCATTTACTGATCATTCATTGCAAGACATAACCCTTCTTATGCAGATAAAGCTGAAGGATACAAAAGAACTTATGACTTTGTAGGAGAAAGATAAAGATTCCCACAACTAAAAATATCAGATATGTTCCAAAAGTGAGATAGAGAGAATAATAAAACTGTACTATCTTTTTCTTTTACAAGGCAATGCAATTATTTTGATTACATTAGGGAGAAGGCCTCAATTCTGTACTAATGATTTTTAACACATCTCCGCAACATCTGCTGTGAGCAAGAGGGAGAAACCAAAAATATTGAAGTCGTGAATCAGAAGGATTCTGTTAAATATGATCCAGTAAAAATGACTGGCACAGATAACAAGTGTTAACAGGAGATCTCAAGTAACAAATAATCACCATGACATAAGGTACCGAGTGATAGTTTGGGGTGAAGGACACAACTTCTAACTGAGCTTTGGTAGATGAATAAGAGCTAAGTTAGAAGCCACTTTGCGTGTGTTCCAATTATTAATAGCCTAAATCCTTTTATTTCTCGTTGTTGTTGTTGTTCAGTGCCGTAAAGTCAGTTTTGACTCAGAAGCGACCCTGCATAGGATTTCCAAGGAACAGCTGATGAGCTTGAACCATCAACCTTGTGGCTCAAACCTACTTTACATTCGAGCACATTAAACTACAGTGTTACACTATAAGCCAGTAAAATAGTTGACAATAACAGAGGGGGCTTCAAAAGTTTATGGAAAAATTCCATTATCTTTCCGTTTCATTTTTCCACAAGCTTTTTAAAATCCTCTCATATAGTCAAAATTTCCTTAAAAAATTCTCTAAATTGTTCACCATACAAAACAAGTACGGTTTTGCATTTACAGTATCATGCATAACATACATGTGAATGGTATAAAATAAGTAGATTAACCTATGTAGGTAGTCTGTGTGAGTAGTATGTAATAGAGAGAGCAATGTGAGATTGGTGGAGCAGTAAGCCTGAACAGAAGGCTTCGAGCATCTACTAGGCCAGAGAACAAATCTCTAATCTCAAGGGAAAAAAAGGACTATAAACGGCAGAGAGATTTCTTCTAGCTAGCTAAGTAAACTACAGTAAGGCTCAAGGCAAAGAAAACAGAACAAAACAGGGTCTCCTCAGTCACAGCCTCATGAGTGTAACAGGTGGGTCCTTAGAAGCACAGAGGAAGATCTGAGCTAGTGGACCTGCTGTTGGTAGCAGTGAAGAGAAGGAGACAGGCTAAAGTGGGAACTAGCTGGGAGGACCAAGCCACTGAGTGTAAAGGACACGCACACTAAAGGCACCTACTTCTTGGATGGAGGGATGCCACAGACTACTTATCAGGGCCGTAAGACGGAAAATTAGAGAACCAGGGACTAAGACATGCAGGAAGAAGATTCTTAGAAAGACTAAACACTTTTCTGTATTGGTCTAACATGACTCAGTTAAAACCTTCTATTCAAAGTCTCCTTTTTCTTTATATGCCTAGCTCCTAAGACACAGTGTGACACTACTAGGCCCTGGAGAGATTAACTGTTTACATGACATTGGACCAATTAGTACAAATCCCAAAGAGGCATATTCAGAACAATATATGAAGGTATCTACTGACAGATGGGGCTACCTCAGGAAACAATGAGCCCCCTTCAATGGATATATGCAAACAGAAGCTGGAGTTCTACCTGACAATAGATGTTAGAAAGAATGGCAGCAGACCTGACTTTTGGCCCTTGGATTTGCTACTCTCTGCCTGGCACATGCTTCTCTCATCTGGCAGAACGGCAAATTCATTGATCTCCGTATCTCTGCACAAATGGCTACCTTTTTAATGAGTCCTAATCTCATCTCCAATGAACATTACAATCCGGACACTACTGATCTTCCTTCCTTACCCTATTCTGTTTCTCATTTCCATAGTACAAGCCTGACATTTCATAATGTAAGATACTGTATGATTTCCTTATGTATTAAAGTTAATAATTTATTCTGTCTTCCTCCACTAGGATGTAAATTCCATAAGAGCAAATATGGGGCTGATTTATTTGTTTTACCCTGAAGGAGAAACAGCTAAATTAGTTGTTTCTCCACAATGGAGCCTGTTGTTCTCCCCAATCCCCTCTTGGGCATCAGTACACAGGCACATTCTCAGGCAGTGATGCCGGATGAAACTGGACCAAAGAAACCTGGCACCAATAATGTAAACACCAGAAATGATGTCTTTCAACACCCAAAGCAGTTATGTGTAACTGTAGACAGAGATTTAGTGAAGTAAAGTGCGAAGATAACGTTGGAGCCACATCAGACAGGCTGGCCATTCATCTGGCATCGCTCCAAAGGAAATGAATCTGCAACCTCTGCAGAAGAATAAAGGCCGGAAGCTTCAGGCTGGGACTTGGAATGCTACCTGTGGAGTGGATGCACTGCCTGCAGTTGGTGTTCAGACCAAGTCTCCAGTCCACTGCCAGAGGGTCCCCCAGGGTTCTCTGGGTGATGTAGTTCCCCTTGGTCTGGTGAACTTGTGCTATATCCTTTTTCTCTCTTTGTAATTTACATCTTAATATGTTTTGATGTCTAACTCTGTTTTGGAATAAACCTCTTCTATCTTCTTATAATTTATGGTGTGGTGCTGTAGATAATAAGTGCAGGACTACAAGGTTGGTTTGAAGCATAAGGTTGGCAGTTCAAACTCACCAGTCACTCCTTGGAAATCCTATACAGGGTCGCTATGGGTTGGAATTGACTCAACAGCACACAACAATAATACCTTATAAAAAGTGTACATTCAGTGCCTTTGGTTTCACTTTCGCAAAGTCGAGAACAACTATATTTACCTCACAATACATACCCAAATAAAGTAACAATCACAGTGACAGTGACATAGATGTTGGATAAATGAACAGAAAATGTGTAAAGCATATCATAGAATAAAAAACCCATTTATGAATATAAAGCATGCGCTAAGATGCTCCATTGTGACAGACCTGTAGAAACCGAAAACAAGGCCACCTTCCAACTCTTGCTCATTCAGGAGAGCAGGCTTTCTGAGAAGAATTGTAGAACTGCCTGCACTGCTTGTTTTACGATTTTCTTTTGCTTGTGCTCACTCACTGGTACTTTGGTGCTTTGTGCAGTCAGTCACTGACACATTCGTGCACATATAGATACCCTGCATGCTTTCTCTAATGCCTACCTGCACACTCTATTACTCCCATCTGGCCAAGTATCTACATTTGAACTTTTGTCAGTTAAATAAATGTGTATGTAAGCTTTATTGTATAGTTCTAATGATGTGGCACTGTAGGATAAAAACTGGACTGCAAGCCACAAGATCGGTGTTTCAAGCCCACCAGCTGCTTCTCGGAAACCCTACCAGGGTTGCTATATGTCGGAACTGACTCAATGTCACACAAAAACAACAACAATGGTATAACAACACAAATGTATTTTGTTTAAAGACTAAGTTTTGAGTCAAAAACGACTCGACAACACTTAACATCAACAACCACTTTAAGTTTACTTTATCTATTCAAACACTTACTTTTATCTGTGCCACACTACTTTTCATTTTCTATTGCCAATTGATGCAATGTATCAATTCTCTGTAAGCTGTTCCAAGTAGCAAATATCCAATGGTCTGGAGCTCTTGACAGCTTATTTTTTCTGCCTGCAGTTGTCACCTTTAAGATATACCACAGAAAGCTTTGTTAATACTGATAAAATTGTATATTAAATAATGATTCATTATTTCAACACAATTGACCATTTTTGTGGAGCTGCAGGATAAGCAATAGACTGTAAGGTCAGTTTGAACTGCAGGTCTTCGGTCCAAACTAACCAGTTGTTCCTCGAAAACACTATACAGGGTCGCTATGAGTTGGATCCGACTTGATGGCACCTAACAATAACAACCAATAAACAAAGAAATATGCAATAATTTTTAATACAAAATAATCAATAAGTCCTTAAATAGTTCCGCATAGTGTAACGGGTTATGCATTAGGCAGCAGAACTACTGTTCCTATAAAGATTTACAGCCTCAGAAACCTTATATTGGGTTGTTATGAGTTGGAACTGACTCCACAGCACACCATCCAACACATTAATAAAAAGGAAACTATTAATAAGAAAGCACATGATAACTAAGACTTATTAAGCAATGTATACTATTTTATTGTAATGACTGAGAGAAGCAAAAGTCAATTTAAAATGTTTTAGTAATGGAGACTGATAAGTACATCATAAAATAATTATACTTTAAAAATCAAATCAACTGAGAAAACAGTTCTATAAGAAATTATCTATACATTGAGGATAGCAAATTCAACATTTCTATAGAAAGTATGAACTGCCTTACAATAATGATTACTCAGGGATAAATGTCCTTTGCTTGGAAATATAAAGTGCTAAATAAACTAAAATGGTTATGATTCATTGTGATCTATCAAAGGCACAAGGCTACAGATGCATACATATCTGAGAATGATGTATTTGGCTCACAGTAAAAACCTAGTCAAAGTTAAATAGTCAATATTCACTTGTTAAGTGAACTTAACTAATTTGCGTAAAATTTTGAATCAATTGTTTTATTTGCATCGAACTGCCATTCAAGCATTTTACTAGAATTACAAATTTACATGGCTTATAGTGTAAGGTAATAAAATAATAAGAATAAACAAAGTAGGAAAATTCCAAATTAGAAGATGTAGAGAATACAGTAAAAGAGCTGTGCTTAGTACCAAAATAACAAAGTTCAGAAAAAAAAATTCTGAGTGCTAGAACAGGCCATTCAAGGCTATCTGGTTCAATTCTTTCTTTTTAAATGAGAAAATAAAGGATATCAGACAAGTCCTTGCAATGGTTTAAGCTGTGATACCAGTTAGCTGGAGACCTATAACTAGAAACCTACACCAAAGGCTACATAATACACATATAGTCTGGACACACTATAAACCAAGGAAGTGCTGCTGATGGGGAAAAACAAAACTCCTGAAGCCAACAAAACTTTCTATTACAATGGTTAGCATGGTTTAAGGTTAGCAAAAGCAATTTTCTTTACAAAAAACAAGATTCTTTACAAATTTCTCAATTTATCAAACATAATAGCAAATTAAAGCACAACAGGGTAAGCACTGGACTGTACACCACAGGTAAGCAGTTCGAGCCCACCAGCCACTTCATAAGACAAAGATGAGGCTGTCTGATCCTGCACAGAGTTACAGCTTTAGAAACCTCGTTAAGAGTCAGAACCAACTTGGCAGCACTTAACAACAACACAGCTTTATGTATTTGCAGCTGCCAATATGCCTAACTTTACATAGAGGCCTATGGGGGGCTAGTTTTTCAATTAGTTAATATACCATGCTCAGGCTTGTTTTGTGCTGGCTGGTTAGTCCAAAATCTTTCCTTGTTGTTTGTGTTTTTTGGGGCTTCATTTTGTTTTAAGAGAGTTGCTCTGTCTTAAACCCTGACAGGCATAAATCAGCCAGTCTGTGTAGGACACTTACCATGTCAATAATTAAGACATTTTGTTTGAACTCACTTTCTGAGCAACTTTTCCTGTTGGATGCTACAACTCAGATAAACAACTGAGAAGAAATCAGGAAAAACAATTCATAAAACCAGTCTCTGTGGGAATAAAGGGTAAAGAAGAGGTACATCCCCCTATCTTAGTCTATTCTGACATAATGAAATGTGGCAGTGGTGACTACGCGTTGTGGAGTCGGTTCCAACTCATAGCGATGCTACATAGCATTTCCGAGGCTGTAAGACCTTTTTAAAGTGCTGAAAAGCAACCATGTCAGCTTGAAGACTAAAGTGTGCCTGACCCAAGCCATGGTATTTTCAATAATCTCACGTGCATGCGAAAGCTGGGCAGTGAATAAGGAAGACCGCAGAAGAACTGATGCTTTTGAGTTATGGTGTTGGAGGAGAATATTGAAAGTTCCATGGGCTGCCAAAAGAACCAACAGATCTGTGTTGGAAGAAGTGCTGCCAGAGTGCTCCTTGGAGGCCAGGATGGCCAAACTGTCTTTCATACTTCGGACATATTTTCAGGAGGGACTAGTTGGAGAAGGACATATTTGGTAAAGTGGAGGATCAGAGAAAAAGAGGAAGACCCCCAACGAGATGGACTGGCCAAGTGGCAACATCTGATGGACTTAAGAGTGGCAACAATAGTGAGGTTGTCCCAGGATCAGGCAGTGTTTCATTCTGCTGTGCATAGGGTTGCTATGAGTTAGGACCAACTCGATAGCACCTAACAACAACAAATATTTACGGGAGCAGAGAGCCTCATTTTTCTCCCATATCTTAATAAGGCTGTGTTACCAAAAGTCAAATTACAAAAAAGAATTGCTTTGATTGGGGAAAAAGCAATGGACAACCTAACTAAATTCCCTACTCACACAAAGTTCACATTCTAGCTGTTAAATTACAAATCTATAATGATAACCAACAAAGTGTCAAGTCACTTAAGCAGAGACTGGTCTGACCCTCTTCACTACAGGCCAGTTTCAGATGATTTCACAGCGTTAAACTGACTCCCTAAGTCACTGTTAACGCTAATTTGAATTCTGAAATCTTGCATGATAGAATTATTTGTGCATATGAAGGAGCTCTGGTAGTGTAGTGGGTTACAACTTGGTCTGTTAACCACAGGTCAGCAGCTAGAAACTGCCAGCCACTCCTTAGGAAAAAGATGAAGGTTTTCTGTTCCCATAAAGATTTAGTCTTTAAGGGTCATTGTGAGTTGGAATCAACTCCACAGCATATAACCACCACCACCACATACACTGCTGTGACACCGTAGGATAAAGCACTGGACCGCAGTACTGGCTTGAACTGCAAGGGCACGATTAAAACCCACTGGCTGCTCCTCAGAAACCCTACACAGGGTCACTAGAAGTCAGATCCGACTGGACGGCCCATAACAACAACAGCCACAGGCTGGGACCTACCTCTGACTCAATCATAAGACATATATGGAGATGGAAGACAGGCCTGGACATGCTTCCTTTATTAAAGCATTCCCAAGGAAATTCCAGTATGCAACTCTCCCCCAAATCTTCTCAGCTTCCCAACTCTAGATGAGAAGTCTGGTTCTCAATTTTTCTTAAATCATGGGCCACCTAGACAGAATATACTATATAGCCTAGCTATTTCATAATGAAGAACTTAGCAATAAATTAATTTCAAAGGAACATATAAACACCAAATGTATTAAAACTTGATAATTCACTTATTGGTAAGAAGTCTGTAGATACATGTAGAAAAAAATACCTGTATCAGTGCTTTATAAAACTGAGACATTGTGGGCACAGTTTATGCAGATTGCCACAGAGAGGTACTTCTGAGTTTAAGGTGTTTATACGATGTGAGCATTCACCACTACTCCTGATGTGGCACTGTAGGATCAGCACTCAACAGCTAACCACAAGGATGGCAGTTCAAACCCAACAGCCACTCCTTGGAAACCCTATATAGGTTCTGAGCCAGAACTGACTCGAAGGCACTGAAAAACGATTTTTTATCTTGGTGGTATGGTGTTAGGTGTTGGGCTGCTAACCACAAGGTGGTTGATTCAAACCCACAGCTATTCCACAGGCAAAAGACGAGGCTGTCTATTCCCATACATATTCAGTCACAAAAACTCTTTGGTTTCCTTTTGGTATTGTTTATCCAAATTATGGCAATTTTTTTTTTTTAACACATGCTTTAACACTACTTACTCCTTACTTAGCACAAATACTTCTCACAAAACTATGAAAAAGGACATTGATTTTCTCATTCTATAAACCAAACCCTATCCTACAGCCACATCTTTCTTGATACCTGAAGTAATACCACCTATTGCAACATTCTCCCAAACACAAATTCAAGCACTGAAATGGAGTCATCCAGATGACAGACTATATTTATAAAATATTTTAAAATGAATATAAAAATGAAAAATTTACAGAAAAGCTTCACATGAAAAAGAAATTCAGTCTTCCTAGACTAAATACTTACTATAAAATGGGATACTTCAAGTGGAAAAGAACCTAATTTGCTGTGTGAACCTTCACCAAGTAAAACAGTACTAAAACATTTTTTTAAACTGCCAAATATGACTTGTAGTTAACATATCCGGCAGTAAAATTCTAAATGATTAATAAACATCCCCTTGTGTGGCGGTATAGGATAGGCACTGGGATGTGAACCACAAGGTTGACAGTTCAAAACCACCAGCTGCTCCTAGGAAACTCTACTCAGGGTCACTATGAGTGGAAACTGATTTGACAGCACTTAACAACAACAACAAATAAACACCTCTGCCTCTTTATAATCATGGTACTCCCCAAATTCTTATCCTTGACAAACCCCAGATAATCACCAGGAACTAATTCTTCAGATTTTAGCAAAGTTGAGTACCCATACACAAATTAATGGCCCAAATCATTTGGTTATCTTGGAAGAAAGATTACATATTATGATAAACAACAGCTAATATAATCCTCATCCTAGAGTTCATCTATGCTGCAATGACCAAATGTGTGATCTTGAGTCCTAAAAAGCTGCTGGGCAGCCACTGTGATGCCTTGCGACTCACCACATGAACATTCAATAGAAAGAACTATCATCGCAAACCTGACACAAAACTATGACCCGCAGAACAACAGTGCTGCTATGAATTGATCAC